ACCCCTCAAAAAATCTCCAAAATTCAAACGTCTTTAAAGAAGAAGCCCAAAAGACACTACTCTACAAAGCCTATCCAAACAACTTCAGTCCTTTGGTTAACAGTCCTGGGCTTTGGAATCAGAAAAGGCTCCCAAGTTTAAAATCAGAACTGCCATTTAGTAACTCCATGACCTTGGAAACGTTACTTATCCTCTCTGCATCTAGGTTTTCCATTTGTAAAATGAGATAATCACGGTACATATTTTATAAGGTTATGAAGTATTAAATGAGATGTGCACATTCGAGTACCTAGCTTAGAAAGCCCTCTATAAGTATTAAACAGTAGGAATAGAAGTAATAATAGAAAAGTTTTTTCTTCGGTAAAATGTGAATAAGAATGCCTTCTAGAGTATGGGAAAGTTCTGATGCTAAAGTCCTTTAAACTGTAATCCTGAACAAACGTAATGAATTGGTATATACCTTGAGATATTTGGGGCAAAGCTCGAACCTCAGTTTCATAGAATATGCTTTCCGTTCAGTGGGGGGTGGGAGCAGGTAATAATACTCACTATTGATTAGTAGAAAGTAAAGTACCCCGGATACAAGTAGCAGAAGACCAAAGAGCAGTATTAAGATCAGCACCCGCAGACCGGACCCCCATCATTCCGTGGCGTCCACCCCTAACGCCCCTCTTCGCTTAGAGCTGCGCAAGCGTACACTGATTTGCTCTTCTCTCCATCCTGCCCCCGCCTCCAAACCCCCACCACAGTCTGCCCCAACACGCAGGCGCATCTCCTCAAACTCGGTCCCTCCCATACATTTCTCTCTTCATTTCGTTCCCCCTCCTCTTCCAGCATCTCAGCAGGTTCAAACTCATACGTGTGGGTAGCGGGGATCGAGGGGTCACGTGATGAGCATCCTGCTGCCCAACATGGCGGAGTTCGACACGATCTCGGAACTGGAGGAGGAAGAAGAAGCGGCAACGTCGTCGTCGTCGCCGTCGTCGTCGTCGTCAGTATCAGGACCGGAGGATGAAGAGGAAGATGAGGAGGATGAAGAGGAAGAGGAGGAGGAGGAGGAAGAAGAAGAGGAGGAAGAAGAAGAAGAAGAGGAAGAAGAAAAGGAGCAGGAGGAGGAGACGCCACCACCGCCTCGGGTAGTGAGCGAGGAGCATCTGCGGAGATATGCCCCCGACCCTGTTTTGGTGCGGGGCTCCGGCCACATCACCGTGTAAGCGAGAGGGGGTTATGAGGTTTTAAAAGGCTGAGATTTGGCAACAGAGAAATGAGAAGGTGATTAAGGGGCCAGTGGAGTGGGGGAGGGCTTACTGAAGCATACAATTAGGAAACGACACCTTATGTAAATGGAGAAATCGTGGGAGCTAGGTGTATAGGAAGTGAGAATGCAAATGTAATTTACCAACGCCAGGTAAACAGTGAGCATAGGACCAGGGAAGTGAGTGGTTTGGGAGCCAGAGGGATTGGAGTAAGGGTGAGTGTCCTTGCTTCTCTGTGTATGCTGGCAAGTGAATACTCTTTCAACTGCAGGATGTATCAGAAGATTATTTGCTGCTAAGATTGGTGTCTGGTGGAATACGGTGACTGCTGTGACATTTGACAAGACCTAGACTTGTTTTTGTGTGTGTGTTTTTCAAAACAGAAATATGATATATTTTGTGAATAATATTATAGAATTCCCACGCACCTACATAATCATCCATACATTTTTCCTATCCAATCCTTACCGTATATGAATGAATACAGTTATCCTTTCCGTGTCTTCATCCACCCTCACTGTGACTTTCCCCAAATATCACACAATTAGAGATTCAGGTTGAAAGGCATCTATGAAAAGTAGAAGGACTAATGGATTGAAAGTGAGGGTTCTTAGTTGTGAGTCCCAACTTTGCTTCTTTCGAGCCCTGTGACCTTCGTCAGGTTACTTCCCATTCCTGAGCTTTTATTTCTCCATCTGTAAAATGAGTTTTTTCAGATAGATGGTTTCTAAAGACTTTCAGCTCTGAGGTAATTTAAGATACTTGGGGGAGATTTTGTATGCCTGAATATTAAATGTGCAAATATTAAATATGTATGGAAATTAGTCCCCAGAAGCTGAGGAGGATTTTGTGAAAACTTATGCAGAGTGACTTTTTATAAAAATTGAAATTTTGGGTAATACTTGAGAAAATAAAAGGAGGAACCTCATAGAGTAGTAGTTGCAAAGCAAAAGGAAATGTTATTGGTTCTCTGGGCTTTGAAGGCTGCATTCTCATTTTTATGTGCTTGGGCTGTAAATACTTAAAAGTTTGAGTATTGGGTCATGCTCATCCTCTTAACTGTGCTATCTTTTTATTGCATTTTCAAAATAGAGCTTTTTTTTTTTTTTTTACTATCAAGTCATGCTGCCTCTAATTTTGATAATCGCTCCCCTAGCCCCTTTGATTTTCAACTGAGTTTATATGTTTCTATTATCTGAAATCACGTTATAACATGTATCACCTCCCCCCATCATGTTAGCTTTTTTTTAATCCACACTGGAGGATATGTTTTACTGTTTTGAGAGGCAGACAGACAGACAGACAGACATAGATGTGAGAGAAACATTAGTCGGCTGCCCCTTGCACACGCCCTAACTAGGGACAAAACCTGCAACCCAAGTGTGTTCGTGAACTGGGAATCGAACCTGAGACGCTTCGGTGCACGGGACAACACTCCAACCAATTGAGCCACACCGGCCAGGGCCTATCATGTTAACTTTTGATTTTAACATGTCGAGTATTTTCTTTATAATATACTTTTGTGATCTTTGCATGAAATGTATTAAGAAAGATTTTTATAAATACAGGATGAGTTTGGGAGATTTTTAGACCTACTTTTTGGTTAGGCAATTTTAACAGTTTTTCTTGGTGGAAGAATGTAATCAATAGATTACAATGACCAGATGCCAGCTTTCTGCACTGTTTTACTTCCATCCCTTTTATCACTAGGGAGACATTTTTTTAACCCAAACTAATTATGATTCTGGCACAAAAGTTACTTCCATGCAGATTATTTAACACAACTGAACAGGAAAAGGTTTTTATTTCAGGCTGTATTTTATATTCCAGCACTCCTCACCCTCACTATTTTCTAAAATTCAGAGAACAGACAAAGAGCAAAAAAACAGAATTTAAGTTCCCTGAAACTTATTTGTGGTTCCATTCTACTCTTCACACAGTCGTGAAGTACTTACCAACCTATTTGTTATTAAAAGCAAAGCACTGACACTTGCCATGTGCAGGTCCTTATGATAGTTATAATATCTCTCCCAGCTTAAAGGCTCTGGAATTAAGAGTATGAAATAGTGGTGCTGGTAGCAACTGTTGGTATTAATCGAAGCTGAAACCTGAAAAGCAGCAAACCAGTAATTGCATTGCTAACCAATGCATATAGTTTGGAAAATTATTTTTTATTGTGCACATTCTCTCACCATTTGATGTCAAATGTCGGAGATTTGGAAAAAAAGATTAAATGTTTAGGAGAAAGTTTTACTTGATCTGAGACTTTGGCCTGTCAATGATAGGAAAACCTTCCTTATATCAGGTAAAGTAAGATCCTTAGGAAATAGTTCATCTAATTCAGAGACATCTAAAATATCAGGTTCTGTTTAATTTTTTTCTGGCATAGGAGTGTTAGAGTTGCCCTGTCTGAATGAAATATTTCTTATTCTCTACCTCTTTTTGTTTTCAATTCTCTATGCAGTCATCTGTTCTATAGAGGACTTTGTTTCTTTTCAAAGTTTAAATGTTGAGAACCATCACCTCAAATGCAATATATCTTAAACCCAGCATTTTCCCTCCCCGCATTGGCTTTGCATTCCAGTTGCGCCATTTTTGACCCTGATAGCACCATTCTAATTTTCCGAAAATATTTCAAATCCTTAAGTCATGTTGCCTTTTCATTCTCTTTAAATTGTCCTATGCAAGTCTGTCCCAGAATTATGTCATCATGCATTTTGAAATGTATATTAGATTTTTAAATTTGTATCCATTTCTACTGGCACCACTCTAGTTTGGGTTGCCATCATCTCCTGCTTGAATTATTGCCAGAGGAAGCCACCCCTCCCCACTCCAATCTATCCTGCATGCTTGTGCCAAACTAATTTTCTTAAAGCACAGTTTAATTATGTCACTTCCCTGCTGAAAAACCTGCATCAGATCTTAATTAGGTCTGAATTCCAGTGCTCTCTTCCTCCAATCTCTAAGGTCAAGGAGTCTCTCCACTTGCCCAAAGCTCATCCCTCCACTTGTGCCTTCCATACTCTTCTCTTGCCGTCTCCTCTCAGATCGTGCTCCATCAGGCAGCCCGTGTCTCTCTAATACTCCTCTCTGCCTCTATGGCTCAGCCTATAAACATATTAAGAGTGTAATTCTTTAAAAACAAAATAAAACAAAAGCCTTCATAGACCTGCATTCCCCTCTAGCTACTGTCTAGTCTCTCTTCCTCTTCCAAATTTCTTAAGAGTAGCTACATTCACCATATCCATTTTCTCTTCACCCTTCTGTAATCTGGATTCTGCCACCATGACCACAGATGAACTGACCTTAAGATCACCATGATCCTCTTGTTGCTAAATTAGTGGGCATCTTTTATTCCCTTTTTGGTCCTTATGCCTATGTATGATACTTATAATGACTTCGTCTTTCTTGGATACTTCTACTCCCTGGATCACAGACACACAGACCTTCAGAGGCAAGACAGGTCACAGAAAATGATGCAGCATGAATAACGATGGGTTCTTACTTGAACTGGAAAGTATATGATTTGCCTAAAGGTATTTAAATTCTGGTTTAAAAAAATGTTTTTTCCAGTCAAACAAACCCAGAAATTCCTTGACCACTTCACTCTCCTTGTTCTTGTATTTTTCTGGCTATATCTTAACTGTCTCATTCATGGGTTTCTCTTCTCTTGCCCTTTGAATACCAGTAATCCCCAGGGGTTTGTTCTCAGCCTACTATTATTCTCATTCCTTGTTTCCCCTAGATGATCACATCTTGACTCTCATGGTTTCAATGATCTGATGTCTCCCAAATATGTATCTCTGTATCAGACTCTTCTTAGACTTTTGTTTGGCTTTCCTCACCTTATGGCCCACCATTATCTTAAATTCAACATATTCAATACAGAAGTCATTCCACCCACACACCTTCTCACCCCTGTCTCAACGCCTCAAAAAAAATCCCATCTATTACTATATTCTCCATCTCAGTTAAATGTACCTCTACTGATCTTGTTATTTTTCCTTGGTTCCTCTTTCCCACTCACAATTTTCACAGCTAAGCAATCAGCAAGTATAAACAATATATGACCCAAACTTTTATTATTCTCCCTACCACCACTTCCTTAATTCAGGCCTCTTTCATCACACTAACTAGCCCTGCCTTCATCTTTGTCACCTTCACATTCATCCTTAGCCTGCTGCTAGATTAAGACACCACTTTCCTGTTTAAAACTATTCTGTTGTTTCCCTTTTACCTGCCAGATAGAATCTAAGCTCCATAATGCGTCACACACACCTGAACTCTGCCAACCTATCAGCCTAATCTCCTGACATTTACCCTTACTATTTATATTTTCCTGTTACTAACATGTTGTTTCTTATCTCTTTGCCTCTAAGATAGTGACTTCATCTAGTATTCTAGTACCCACTGCCCTCACTCCAGCTCTCCATATGTCACCAATTCCTGCAAGTATTTTCTACTCCCACTAAATTGTAAGCTGCAATGGCAGGAACAATTTCTGGTTCCCCCAAGTCCTCAATCTCTGCCCTAGAGTAGATACTCAATAAAAGTGAATTGAATAAATGTTGGTTTACTTTAGTAATACTCAATACTGGTTCACTTTATTTTATTTATTTTTTAAATATATCTTTATTGATTTCAGAGAGAGGGAGGGGGAGAGAGAGAGAGAGAGAGAGAGAGAGAGAGAAACATCAATGATGAGAGTCATTGATTGGCTGCCTCCTGCACGCCCCCCAGTAGGGATCAATCCTGAAACCCGAGCATGTGCCCTGACCAGGCAGGAATTGAACTGTGATCTCTTGGATCATAGGTTGATGCTCAACTGCTGAGCCACTCCAGCTGGGCAATACTGGTTCACTTTAATAACACCATAGTGCATATTATATTATAGGCCCTCGACAAATACTAGTTAATTGAGTCATGCTATGGAGAGTACTTGTGTTTCAGAGCA